GGCAGTTAGTAGGGCTTCCTCAGCGGAGGTTATTTGAGACGCTTGGTCGTATGCGAGCATTTCGCAAGGTGCAAGGGCGGGGTGGCCAGCCGCAACCCTAGACACTCACCCTCGACCATACTGAGGATTTCGGAGGCATTCACCCCAGAACAAAAGGATACACTCCTCAGACCAGATGCTGCGAAGTAAACTAGTGATCTAGTCGACGAGAGAGTCACCACCTACCTTGAAAAGAATAGGGAGTAACCCATCGGGTCCCACAGCCTTACCTTTCTTTAATGATTGGATACAGCTTCGTAGTTCTAATTCTGATGGAGACTCGCATGTTACCATCCATGGAGTTTCCACTGCGATTACAGGGAAAACCGCATTAGCACTAGGCCAATTGAACTGTTCACTAAAGTACTCTGCCGAACGCGTCCTTTTTATTGTGGATACACTGTCTACTTCTATCACTAATATTCTCACTGACCGGTACGCGACGAATTCCGGTACTGCGTATCAGGTGACTATTTCCTGATGCAGAAACTACCTCCATTTCACTAGCTATTTTGGCTCACCAGTCTTCGTGATCTTTTTTAAGCCTTCTGAGCTGAAGTTGCAGGCGCCACCTGTTTCTCTACTGATCCTGGCAGTTTGGGACCGTTCGCTTTTGTTCCATCAGGATTACTGGCTCCTGAGGAATCCAGTGTGTTCGACGAACTTCCCGCTTAGCCCCACAGGCGAAGTTTGCTGCTGAGTGCATCGCAAATCTCGTTTGATTCCACTGTTGATCTACTCCATCATATAGCGGTTCTCCTAGTTCCTGTCCCAGCTTCTCATACGGTTGTCAGAACAATATCTGAGACAAAACTGTTATGAGTTTGCGTGCTCGCGTTTGCGTTTCATGAACTTTGTAATAATGTGCATCACTGTAATGTTTGGATTGAGAAAAAATTGAATTTTTATAGTTTTGTTTTTAATCATGTACATAACAAACTCATTGGTCAACTGTACCTTTAGTTCCACCAAACCCGATAATGGTGTATCTGCGAAGACTGTGGAACCTCCGAGTGAACAGGAGCATGCAGTCGGCACAACTGGACACAGTTTGGAGGACTGTGATACATGCGCTGAATCGGATTCTGTTTACAGTGGGGGTGAGCAAAATTATATTGATTCCATCTCCCCTCTTCTGTTCCTGATGTCTTTATTGCTTTATTATGATGGGCTGAGGGTGATCACTAGTCGAGAATACTGCGATTCTTATAATTTCGCGTTTTAGTAATCAACTCCAAGGCCTCATGTATTTTGTCGCTCGAACTGCCCGACTATTCTCATGTTGTTTCACCATAACTATTGCTCAGTCTCCTAATTTTTACTGCAACGTGTTCTGTTTTCTCGCTAAAATAGTCATTTCAAATGTAGATACTCCTAACTCCAACGCTCTGGGTTTCTCAGTTTCCCTGATTCATGTTTGGATTTCCTTTTCATAGGCTGGTCACCGTGTTTAGTTTGATTTTTCATTGATATACGACTAATTTGCCTAGTTGTCAGTGATAAGAAAATTCACCACCGTCAAATATAATCTACTTCTGAATCATGATAGACAATTTAGTTAAGGAAGCTATTGAACATACGAAATAGTTCGGTTCTTTTAAGCTTCTTATGGTGCATATGAAAGTGAAACGATTATCTGAACCCCATAGGCATTGGCTCGATGATGTAGTGTGATGGTAAAATTGGAGTTTAATGAAAGCAAGTAAACGAATGTGCAATAACGTGGATTGCAGTCAGCACTTGTGTGCTGTCGTTCGGCTACAGATGATAAAAGTAAAAAAATGTGACTAGACTGACAAATTGGACAGGTAATGAAACTAGGCGCTTACTAAAAGTGAGGCGATTGGAGTCACTGAATTATACCTTCTTGTCTCCAGCTGTGCCCGGCCAATCTTCATGTTTTTCTAGTACAACGTTCAGCTCACTATCCATATTTCCACCGGATCTAGTCATTTTACCATTCATTTCAGTTTTCGGTCGTTTGTTCTACACGTTGGGGTCAAAAATATACAGTCAACCGTTTTTACGAATTCGATGGTCGTAAACTGTGAACGCTTTCTCACACAAAAGCCAATGGAATGGCAAGGTGATGAAAATAACAACTCACTGCCTTGTTTCAGACGACATGCATATGAATAAGTTCATTCGAGATATGCCGAATGTGTAGACGTTTTATGAGCATCGCCGAATGACACTGCTATCCTGAAATGCGGTACACGTAACAACATGCATAGGATCCGCCCACTGGGGTAAATGTAGCAAAGCGATTGACCGGACGTTTTTACTCGCTCGATTAGTTTCGCTGATGATAACGAAATCAACCGGGAATAACGAACCCACTGTCAATGAAGATTTTGTGGTTTGCTGTTTTTTGGGCTTATTGGACTTGTCTAATAATTGCACGTAATATTTTTTCTTTTATTTAACAGACCGCGTCCCTCCACTTCGCAACTTCCACGCTTATAAATACGGTGAGCTTTTTTGTCTATTCCCATCTGGCTTGTGCTAAATCGCTTTCATTGTATCCCTGTCATATGTTTGAAGATGATGAGAACAAGTTCTTCCCTTATTCAAACCGTTCTCATCGTTTTTATTCGTAGTATTGATCATCTTCGTGCATACTGCATGCCTATTTTTCGGTGGCGTTCAGTGATTTGTCATGATTTGCTTTTCGTGTCCGGTGGATACCCGTTCGGCAGGACGCTCCGAACGAAATTTATCAACAGTCTTTCGTCGAATTAAAAATGCACAATATATGTTTGCAGGACCTCCACATTTGTCATCAGTGTACATTCAAAACCACAGGAGGTACGTCGTTCAAGCATAAAATCAATGGCTGCAACGCGATCTAGGTCACAAAGCTTGGGTTACCGGTGATTATGAGTGGACAATAGGTCTCCTTGACTGAATGACGTATCCTTTCTGTTGTCTAATGAAGGTCATTCGCTACTGTTGGCTCTCCTTTAGGAAATTTCTATAAATCAAGAAGGCACTTGAATAGCTTGACGCTTGTACATGGAGAAGACTTCAGAACATTCATTGCTCTATTGATTCCAGTGAAGAGATCTAATCTTCGAGCGACTGTGATGTATCGTGGTGAATAATTTCCCATTTCAAGTGACCATTGAATAAAATTACGTTCTAGACATCAGTTGAATATCATAAAATAGAGTATATTCCACCGCTCTCTAAGAATTACTTTACTGTAGGTAATGGAAATGCGAAGGAAACCAGAATTTGTTATCATTTTCCCCCATGCCTCAGACTTCTAGCTTCTTCATAGAGTTTATAAACACTGACGAAATAATAGTTTCATCAACTTATACCAACTAGGTATTAGTTCTTGTTTGCTACCTCATCTCAGATGGTTCATTCCGAAAAACGCTTGCCGATGCAAAATCAAAATTAGAACTTTTTGAGACCTATCTTACGACCAATACCATCGTGTCCTCTTAGTATCTTTTTATTTGTGAAGGAGTCAAACTTCTATGCACACGAACAGTACTCATCTTCAGTAGAACAGTGTTCCTTTGGGTAGTCAGTAGAGTGACATATTTAGTTGTGGATTTCCACAGCGCCAGCGCTGTTTTTATTTTCCCTTCTGAAGATTACCGACGTAATTTCCTCTAGTGGACGTAATTTCTGTACTGTTTTTAAGCGAATCCGTATCATCAAGACTTATCACAATTCAAATATCAGTGAACCTAAAGACAACTCTGATAATACACTGCATTTTCGATTGTCGTAGATTCATACCGGTCACATTAAAATCCCACGGTGATGGTCTTTAACGCCGGGGATTACATCCAATGGTCCGGGATATTTTGTTAGAGTGGGTTATCTCAAATTTTCCAGACCCAATTTACTACTTGATCCATGGCAGTTTCCATTTAAGCTCCACCAACATACATTGTTTCTCACCATATGAATAATACTAATAAACACAGTGAGATTTGTGAAATATATTTTCCGCAGTTGTAATTACTCCGTCGGTCCGTGGTAAAATCGCTCCTCAGAAAACTGGAATTTTTCGGGGACCTGTTCCCACGGTTGGCCTGGTTATCAGCTCACCGTTTCTCTTTCATGCTTTCATCGAATTTAATTCACACTAAAACGAACGAATTTAATAGCGAAACTTTGCCGAATCTCCTACCTTGAAACTATGTGGAATGTGTGCATGTGCATCGGAGTTTTACATGCTACCTTATCCTTAATTGTTTCCTGATCTACTTCGTTCTCACTGTGGTAGCCAAATAATTATTTTAGGTTGTTTGGGTATGAACTGTTCGTTGTTTCATCCGTGCTTTTCTGACTCCTTTTCACGCCATTTTTTACAACGTGAATTTGGAAAATTTGGACCCTATGTATTCACCTCACCTCAGCGTGCTTGTCCTCATTCCACTTTAGTCCATATTCAAGGTCTCGATTTGTTGCATTTCACATCTTGTACCGGCGTCTATGTGATGATGCTCAAATAGCCCGTATCTGATTAAGGTCGAAATCAGCAAATAGTCGGTTAAACTCAAATTTTTATTTTCTCAATAATTGAAATAAGAAAACATGTTAACGGTAATCATGTTCATGCACCATGAACGCTGTCGCCTGCCGGTGTTAGTCCTTTTCCACTCTTAATTGAGTGTATGTTCGCAGAGTTAGCAATTTTTAAAATCTCCAATTCACTTCAAGAATGATGTCTATTTGGGCTATATTCTTTCATATTGGTCATCATTGTCGGTAGAGACTGATAGTATGGGTAAACGAAGTTGAAAACCGACCGTGTTCCAAAACTTTACCATTAGCTTTTATTCCTTCTTCAGTTACCGCCGAAAGCTCGTAAACCTCCTGGAGGATTTCATGGTGTTTGCGTTTCATCAGCGACGTATCAACAGATATGAGAATATTTTGATGTTTGTCCCCTCTCTACTTGTTTCTGTTTTTGCTCAGTCCAGCTATTCACTGAAATGACTTAAAATCGACAGAACAGTACAACCATTTACTTCTGAAATGGAGATCAGTTTGCCAGTTACCTTTGTTTTTTTCCGATTAATGTGTGTACATTTCGGGGTGTTGGTTTCAATTTTATTTTAATATTGGTTTTAAGGTTGGTTGATTATATGCTGTTTTTTTACTACCTGTATTTCCGTTTATGCCTCCAGTTTTGGTTGTTTTCATTCCTCCCGTAATGTGTTCTATGCATTCGGACTCCTTTGGATCTGTGTTTAGGTTCCAGATTAGGCAAAATTGGACAGCGTGGCCAGACCTATGAAACTTCCTCATCCATGATGAGTTCCGATCTGGAGTCTACCAGCTTTCTAGATTCAGAGGATGAATCCAGTCGGTAAGTTTGCCACAGATAAATTCTTCCGTGTGTTTTGTGTACTGAGTTCTATCTAGCTATCTTTATTTAACGGAATCACGTTGATAGGATTAGTCGGCATCACACTCTATTTCAATTATCGTGCTGTTAAATCTGGGTGATAGCTTTGCGGTCTCCCATAGTTCGAATCACATACTCAGCTAACCCATGCACATCATAAACTTTAACTGTTTGATTGCCACCCAGCGTATTTACGGCGAAGGTCACAGGCGAAACTAACCTAAGGTGTATTAAGCATCTTAGATGGGCGAATTCCGTCTAAGGGGCGATCGATCAGTTCAATTCCGAGAGATTGCTGTATTCGTATTGCTTCTATGCTTGTTACACATTTTCTTGCCTTCTCGCTGATTTTTAGCAGTAGATTTGTTAATTCTTAATTTGAAAAGATAGCCTTCGACCAGAAAATGACAATAATCAGTTAGAGGGCTGGTTCGACGGTGTGGAAGTCCTTTCAAGGAATGCTCTTTTGAGTGCGCCCCTTGAACCATCTGTAGAAAAAGTGATGCTCCAAGCCTTTCCGTGATAAAAGTGTTTTCCGAAATTGCAGAGAACGATATCCGGGGCTACGTCCGGTTTAATGAACCATAGTTCACCTGGAGCGAGTGACAAACCCTCCTGAGAAAAAGCATAAAAACTAGATCCGCTTACTTCATCGATAAACAGATAAATTTTCGGCATGGACATGCAAATCGCGCTCTGGACAAGAAAGTTTTTATCTGTTCGGACAACGAACCCAATGGACCACGGTCCTTCCATATCGCTCTGCTGTTTTACCGCTTAGTCTCTGGTTGACCGAAAGTTCCAGTTGTGCATCATTAAGTAGTAGGTCACCTTGCTTGACGGGGATATCAGGCCAATATCGCCTGCATAAATAAATCATGGCTACAATGCTACCGTGATCTGTTTGCACACATTATGGACCCAGAAATATAAATATTCGAAGTCTGGACGTTATAAGAGTATTATGGCCGCGGTCCGTCTTGCTCAATGTAGGCTGCACATTTGCGTGCTCAATAAACAAAAAAAGAAGTGAAAATATTTGTTTATTATAGTTACTTAGAATTAAAGTAAATGGTTCCTTTTCATTTTTCGTACCACTCAAGATTGCCTTTTGTTGATATTCGAAGTTTCTTGATATAGTGTAGTTGATCTCTTCTATTTGATTATCGTTCATCAAGATGGTCGTATGTGTTATCCCAGATCTAAATGGTGCTGTTTTTCGTGTTTGATGGGTTTCCTTTTATTTTTTCTTCCCCACATTCCATTTTTTGTCATTCGAGATTTTCCACTGCCACCGGGACTTCTATGTCTTCGGCCAAATATGCCCGTCATCGTAGGCAACGCAGACAACGACGTCGTCTTCTTCCCGTGCGACGTGTTAGTGAAGACGTGAGTTGTACTTTTGTTGGTTATCCCACTCTTCTGTGCGTTAAGTGTCTGTCGGTCATCATTCAGAATAACCAGTTGCTTGCGTAAGTGTCTCCATGGGAAATCCACCTTGACAGCGAATTCGGATAAGTAGACTCCACTGGTTAGGACACATTGCACATGTCTAGAAATCGTTTGTCGCACCGTGCCTCACATGTCGCGTCAGGATGGAGTATATCACGTGGAAACGAGGCATGAAGAACTGCTGGGGTATATTGGTCAGATAGATCCCACCCGCAGGGTTTGGATCCAAAAGAGTTTGCAGATGTACGGGAAGAGAAACACGGATGGATTTGGTAGCAACCTGACAACACGGATGTTGTGTTCTGTTATCAGGCCTGAATGTTTGAATGGGTGGACGCTCATATGTGGATAGGGTAGTTACTCCATATGTTGAATTCAAAACAGGCCCACATTTCAGTGACCTTATTTAGACTTACTTGACATGTATTGTGAGCTTGTCGACGGTTAGCCAAGTTCGCTATACTCTATTTCGCCGTAAGTTGATGGTGATGGAGACGTTTCCCATTAAGGTAGGCTTAAGAGTCACTGCCAAATTTTGCTGTGTATGACAGCGTAAACAAACCATATTTCATTGTACCATTTTTTCATCCAGAACTGATAGGTCTCATATGGTTGAATTTTTAAAGCGGAATTTTCGCTTTGAGCCTTGGTCAGTTTTAGAAGTTGCAACTAAATAACTGCTCTTCGTCATTTTTTTCCAATTCATAGTTGACTGTTTCCGGTCACAGCATGTACAAAGAGTTCATTATCCGATCATCCGTAGCCGTGTATGAAGTCTTAAGCACTTAGGCAAAACGATTTGCGTTATCCTAATCTTCCTTTTATTGCAGTCACAGGACCTGCACTCATTACCGTATAGTTCTTGCATTCGGTAGCGCTGCAGATGATCGTATGAATCTGAATTAAGCAAGTTATCAACTTTTTTTGTCACCTCGAATAAGGAAGATGTCCTTATTGTCGCTTGTAGTCTTGTTTCATCACCGTTCCCATTTATCCATCCATCTATCCATCTCCTTGTCTGGTGTGTTTGTTTGTGATGCGCTCCAACCAACCTAATCTATGTAAGCCTGTATCAGATTGACTGTTGGTGCACATATAGTTGCAACTGTACCTCCCTTTCGATCTCTCCAAAATCGTAATACCAGGTCACTCAACCATTGGGATTGATTTTTCAACAGTGCTTCTTTGTGTGCATTTTGCCGAACTTGGCACGGCAAGTCGCGTGACTGACTGACTGGATGCGATACCGANCGAATTTCTTTCGGTACCTGCAGTATTTCCCCTCTCACTTTTCTTCCGCTTTGGTGTGCACATATACATGTGGTCAGTCATGTGCGTGTAAGGTTAGAGATGATTCATCCAATTATCACCACCGCTTGTGAATTCTGTTGATTCCCCCCCCCCACACCTTTCTCGGTTGCAGGCACCCATGCATCACAAACCATATGGTCCCATTCTGCAGATCTCTCAGGCATGATTATTTGTTGCATCCTTCTAATTGCGATCTTAGCTACCTCAGCAGATGCATGTGTGTTGACCGAGTTCTGATTACGATAGTGTAGGGTTCTCTCTGTTTTAAGGTGATCACCTCGTACGTGCCCATTCATGCAGGAGCGGTTCATGTTATGTATTTTGTATCCGTGGTGTGAAGTATTACTTTATTAGTCTTGTACTTTCTTTCTCATGTAATAATGCAGCCCGGCGTGAGCTCCCCTGTTATTTCAATTACTAAGCTTTACCGCCTATCCCAACTTTTGTTTCATCGTGTGTGTGTGTGTGTGTGGGGGGTCATTTCAGTGCACTAATTATGCTTTACACTTGATCAGGTGAAGTGTTTGTCATTTATTCGGTATTTCCAAGACATTCATTAATGTTCTGTGGGACTGATTAAACATTTGAAACAAGCCAATACTCCATCGCGCTGAAAGGACTTAATGATTATATTAAGTTTTGTACAGAATCGACGTTGATCCATGCGTGTGTTCAACGCCCCGATTTTCGTGTTGAAAAATGAAACCACCCAAACAGTACTGAATTATTCTGCGACGGAATCGTATTCACATTTTCTAACACTTCGCTTCGTCGTCAAACACTTGACCATTGCGTTCAATCGATTGGGCATAGACAAGTAGAACGTAATCTTCTCATGAAACGCCTGAATCCCTCTAAACCGATGACTGAGTTCTCAACGTAACCAGATAGATTCATCCACAATTTTTCTGATATTAATCTAGACAAAACGTTGATAGAAGCATTATCCTTGTGACCGAAGTTCTACTGTTCAAAGAAAAAACCTTTGTGCACAGTTATCAGACTTGTGCCCCTCAACTGAGGTTAGGAGCGGAATAACTGGCGTCTGCTTTGGTGGATACCTGTTATCAATATCAGAGTACCAAATCATCGATTAACGGATTAGTAACGGAACAACGTATAGAGAAATTAAGAGTTACAAAAAACCACAGAGGTCATTGATGTTTTCATATCTAAAATAGAAAGCGGTCCGCTTAAATCACATCGGACAATACACTATACACGCGTTAAGTAGAAGACATTTTATGCGTGGTTGATTCCACAACGAATGGTCAGCATCTGTTACATCACTTCATTCCTACACATCGCAATTTGAAATTCATGATTGAAAATGAAGCCCGATTCGTCGTGATGATAGATCGATCAGACAGTTATCCCACAGGAAGCCGACATGGAATGGACAGTGTATTCATTCCCGTATTCATTTCAATATAAAAAAAGAACCTCGCACTCTGTTTGGTCAACAGAACGACAAGAATCTCTACATAGGAAATGCTAGTTGGTGAACTCCGAAATGTGTAGAATATCTTTATACAAAAGAATACCCGGACCATCTGGTGCAATCTGTGATGCAATGACATGAGGCGTTTCCTCGGAGGGTCATTGCTGAGACAGTGTATACATCTGTTTACCATTTAAAGGTAATGCAGAGATTTTGCACAGAGGGTTATCAGATGCTATCAACCAAACTTTCTGCGTAGCCAGACGCGATTCATATCTAGCCCGTTAGTTTCTGTGGTTGATAGACTGAACGCCCGATTCTGCTGCCTCTTTCTGTGTTTACTCTTTTATTTTCGCCTATGGAGCAAAGTATGTT